AGGAAGGAAGGAAGGAAGGAAGGAAGGAAGGAAGGAAGGAAGGAAGGAAGGAAGGAAGGAAGGAAGGAAGGAAGGAAGGAAGGAAGGAAAGAAAGAAAGAATCACAATAATATGTTGAACTTTCAAAAGGCGAAATCAAGACTGTGATTTCCAGAGGTGGGAAAGGGGGAGGGAGAGGGGATTAATGAGAAATTGGTTAATGGACACAAATTTTGTATCACAATAATATGTTGAACTTTCAAAAGGCGAAATCAAGACTGTGATTTCCAGTGGTGGGAAAGGGGGAGGGAGAGGGGATTAATGAGAAATTGGTTAATGGACACAAATTTTGTAATGATGAAGATACTAATTATAAAATCATCATCACACATTGTGTACAGGTATTGATATTCAACTCTGTACCACACAAATATGTATAATCAATTATATTTCAACAACAGAAAGATCATTTGAAATATGTAAAAATACTTTGACAAATAGCATGCAAATCAAGAGCTTCAAATGGCATTATGGCTTTCTTTCCTAGCCTTCCTTAAAGGCTGCAGAAGTAGAGAAAATGACTACAAAAGGGTGATTTTGCTACTCAAAATGTGGTCTGGATCAGCAGCATCAGCCTCACCTGTGAGCGTGGTGTTAGAAATACAGAAGTTTGGGGCTCATCACAGAACTCATAAATCAGAATTTGCTTTTTAACAAGACCCTCTGATTCTCAGACATTGAAGCTTGAGAAGCACTGCTCTATATCATGAAATCAGTAATGATTTTGTTTAAAACTTCATTAGACCAAATACATGAACAGTTTCAACTCTGTTTTTTTCTTAGCTAATTATGTAGACTTATAAAGAGCATAGCTATTTGGGAACTTTGCTAGTTTCTCCAGTTTGTCCTCAAAAGATGTACCAGAGTCTTTAGGTGAAGGCAGAATTGATTAGGAAGATCATGTTAATTGTGATTGCATTTAGAATATTTACTCTGAAGAATGATGCACAATTTAATGCTTCACACTATTTAATAAAACCCTCATTAAGATATTATTCTGAAAAAAAATCATTGATGGTTATTTGGAGGTGACAAATATATGCTTTGTCCCCTACCACATTAAAGAAGTACCATGAGAAAACACCATACATTACCTATGGGTTAGTTTGTATAAAGATAAAATATTATCTGTTTAAATTTATGACAATGTTTTGTCCACTTGTTTTCTCATTAAGAGCTCTATTTCTTATTATATAATCATTTGATCTACAAGAATTAGTTCATGAGGAAAAAATCAAATTGATTTTAAAGTTAGAAACATGTATTAGTATCTTTAGATTTTCTTTATCTTTAAAAACAAACTACTTTTCCCCTTAAAAAAAATATTGCTTTTTTTTTTTTAATGAGACAAGTGTCTTGCCAAATTGACATGTTATTTACATATTCTGGATCTTCCTCTTCTGCATCTGTAAAATGAGGAGGTTTTATCTGATCATCAGTTTTCATGATAGAAATTTGGATGTAAAAATTTATGATTATGTGCACCTACCATTCATTCTCAGTCATGCAATTTCATAATTTGAATAAACACATACAGTTTTGCAATCTTTCCCAAGTTTCCTGAAGCTCGGAATGGAATAGGTTTAAATAAATTTGCCCAGACTGATGAGAAATGGGTTTTAGTTTTGAACACAGCATTCTGCACAGCAAATAAAGCATATTGACTACAAAAATGAAGGTCATTTCATTTTTATTATATTTTATCAAATTGTTGCACATATAAGGGTAGAATTTATGTGTGTGGAAAATGTGATTGTTTATTAAAGCAATGCATTTCCATCACCATCTTTGAGGTACTTCTGGCAGCTAATGTAGGCTGAACCGCATGTAAGAACAATTGGTCTCAGACTGAGACATGCTACACCATCTCACCCACTTGACTATAGCAGGAAATCATAGCTACTAACTCAAATTTCTTATCTTTCAAAGGGAATCAATTTGTGCACCATTTTATAGTATCCTTAGTACAGGATTGCTAAGACTTTCAGAATTGTTGTATAACACAGTCACTCAGTCATGATGCGGGTGGTTATTAGAGAGCTAAGGAAGGCATAGAGTAAGGTGTATTTGATTGGTTTGTTACCATTTTGAAAAAAAAAAAGATTGTCAAGTTAAATACTTGGTAAGGCCATTAATATGAATTCTACTTAATCCTGTTTTGGGAAAATATAATTTATCCATGCAAAAGTGACCCTTTCAATCATATATTCATAGGCAGCCTACAAGTTATAAATGCAGTGTTCTAAAAATATTCTTTTTTTTTTTAAGTTGATTGTTTGGAACCTGAGATTTTTTTCCCATAGAAATGGTATTATAAAGGTAATTATATTGTCTGGTCAATTCAAATAATCCTTTTCAATCTAGAATGTTGTTAAATTGAAAATATTAGTCACTTGGTATAGAGTGTGCCTTGAAAATCAGTAGACAATTCTGAAAGTAGCTTTGCCCAAGTAGAACACCACCCCTTCATTGTTATTGGTAATTGAGTGTTCCCCCTCATGTACTTTATCTTGTGACTAAGTTTCTCCCCTGTAGTTATCCCCTGGAACTATATCCCCCAGCCTTAACTCAGCTATTAACTTGGTTCTTGACCCTGCATAGGGGCATGTTGGAGCCAGATTGTAGTAGCTCATAAGAGCTAATTTTTAAATTTTTAGAAATTTTGTAAGCTAATTTTTTAATGCAGCCAATATTAAAAAATTGATATGTTTACAATTAAATATATTAAAAGCAGTTCTTAATTATTTTACTACATTTTACTATTATTTATTCTTGAGTTTATTTATGTGTATTGTATCTGTACAGTGGAAATACTACATAATGGGGTGCTACTGCAAATCTCTTTCCAACTCCAGGTACAGTGACACTATATTGGTATCTTGAAATTGGCCATGATGGGAATTTACACTTGGGAAATCAGCAAACACTACAAATCAAGGCTTGATTTACTTCAATGTTGATTTCTAGACTAGAGATCAGGAAAATATAACATTTGAGCCAAATCTGGCCTTCCACTTGTTTTTGTAAAGAAAGTTTTATTGGAAAACAGCAACTCATTTATTTTCATATTGTCTGCGGCTACTTTAGAGCTACAATGGTAGAATTCAGTAATTATGACTCAGTGACTATAAGGTCCATAAAGTCTTAAATAGTGACTATCTGGCTATTTAAGCAAAACGTTTACCAACTTCATCTCTAGATTAAGAAAGTGGTGGGAAAAACATAGCTAATGTAAAGTAAACTTAGAAGTATGTTATATCTGTACCTACTACATTGAGAATAGCACAAAAACCGAAGAAATTTTCTCCCAGTATTCTTTTTTTTTTTTCTGTATACAGAGATTTTATTCTATTTTAAAAGGAAAAGAGAACTTTAGACAAAAATTTGACCCTATAACAAAGCAAATCTGTCCAGCTTTAAGCCAAATTTCAAGAGTAGCCAACTTCTATTTTTCAGCAGCTGGCAAGTGCACCCTCAATGAGCTCTACTGGCATTTCTATTTTCTTCATCCCATGTGATATAAAACAAAACCAATCTAGATAACCAATCCTTGATAAGCTTTATGTGGTCATTTGAGTTTTACAAATAGTTTCTCTAATGGTATGCCAAAATCATTTTCATGTTCTCTCCAGATAGCTGTACTGTAATATACAGCAATGTTTATCCAGGTAGTGAGTCTTCTGTAAACAGTCAACCAATGCTCTGTGTTATGGAAACCAATCTATATGCAATTTAAACAATCCACAGGTTCTAACCTGGAAATACTAGGAAAACAATCTGGATGCATTAATCACAGCAATATGACTATCTACCCTATAAAGAATTGATGTGAACAACTACCCTAATACAAGTTTTACTTTTCTTGAGCCTTTAGGCCTGTCATTTAAGTCAATGACAGCAGCTGTGGCTTCATCCTGAGATTCAAAGGCCACCATGGTTTTGCCTGTAGGCATACCTTTTTCATTGTATTTTAAACACACCGAGCCTGGAATTACTTGATAGCCATAAAAGAAATCTAAAATCTCATCAATAGACACAGTAAAGGGCATGTTCTGCACTTTAATTATTGTTGATCCTGGTTTTCCAGAACTAGATCCAAAGCCAGGGGGACCACCAATATGGACTAGCCCAGGCCCAGGTCTAGGCCCAGGCCCAAAGGCTGGCAGCCCACTCAAATGCCCCAGGGCACTTCCAAGACCAGGAGGGCCACTTCCAAACCCAGGGGTGCCACCTAAGCTACCAGGGCCATTTCCAAAATTCCGAGGGCCCCCTCCATGTCCTGATGGCCCACTTAAATTATTTGGTCCACCTCCGAAAGCTGGAACATCCAGTCCTAGACCAGGCAAACCACTGTTTCCAACTGAAGGCATACCAGGCCTACCATCACCAAAGGCCCCTCCTAATCCTGGAGGAAGGAGGGATGGCACAAAGGCATTTGACACACCAAAATTACCAGGAAAGTTAAATGGAGGCCCATTGTTGGCCTCCTTTGATCCTACAGTAGGGAAGGCATGCTCTTTACCTCCTGCACTGGGCATTCCCGCACCGGGCATTCCCAGGCCAGGCATTCCCGGTACTGCAGGATTACCTGGCAGAAACATCTTTAACCCCTTTTTTCCTTGGGCAGGGGGATTTTTCTCGATCTCTCTCATATCTTCTAGTGTAACTACATGAACAAAAGCTTCTCTCCCATTAAGTTTTTTATGGTGTAAGCGTTCAGACTTACGTGCATCATCTTCTTTTTTAACTGAACCACTGCCTGTTCTAGACCTTGCCCACTGTTATCAACAAGAACATGTACAGCATTTTCATCCACTGGGATTCCTTCTAAGAACTGAAGAACATCCATCTTGATAATGCTGAATGGAATATTGGTTATGTGGGTACAGACTTTGGCATAGTTGACATCCCCCTCTGGATTTAACATCATTTCCCTCTGGTCGTAGCTGAAGTTCTGCAGTCTTTTACAAATCACATCTATCTTTTCTAGCATACCTTTTTTAGTAATTGGATGAACTTGAATAAACCGATTGCCTGTGTATTGCTTATGACGACGCAGAGCAGCCTTATAGTCAAGCTCATTCCTGAATTCTATGAAGCCTTCACCAGATGCTTTCCCATTGGGTCCATAAGCTATATAAATACTATCTTCCACAATATCCAACTTTTAAAAAAAATCAATAACATATTTGTTTCTGCTTCAAATGGTAGCCCTTTCAAGTAAACACAAAAACCAGCCTCATGTGGTGATCTTGACCTTGACCTTTTCTGCCCACTGGGCGACTTTGACCCAGGAAGAGTCTGAGGAGGGGGATGGGTTTGTCCAGAAGGTCCCATACTTTGCTTAAAAGTGATATGGTGTCCAACAGCTACCCACAGTCTCTTTGTGAAAGGGCTAATTTCCACATAGCGTTGAATCATTAGCATTCTGTTTCTTTTCAAAGCTTCAAAGGTATCTTGAGGGGAAAGAAACTTAACCAATCCATTCCCATTATTTCGACCTACATGATCTTTCAACAAATGCACTCCATCAACACGAAGCCCATGGAAAAAATCTCTAATATTATTTTCCATTGCAGAAAAGGGCATTCCATGTACACTGACATACAGATCATCAGGGTTGATGGGAAGTGGCTTTACACTGCTTTGAGAGTTCACCTGGATAGGATTAACAGGATTCAATGGACCCAGAAACATAGGGTTCAGGTTATTGTTCAGATTCACAGGTGTTCCAGAGCCATTCATTCCAGCAGGTAGAGGTGCCACAGGTGGCGGCAATGCCAGACATGGGTGGCAATGGGGTCATGGGTGGCACAGAAGGGACTGGGGGAATTGGAGGCACAGGAGGCATGGGAGGTAATGCAGGTACTGGAGGAGGAAGTGGTATTTGGGGAATGGACGGCATTGGTGGCAAAGATGGCATCGCTGGGATTGGAGGAATTGGTGGTGGTGGGACTGTGTTCATTGGGGAGGCTGTGCTTGGAACGGTTGAACTAAATGCTGGGCTCCCAAAGGAAGCCCCCATATTTGGAGGAGCCGTTCCTATGCTGGCTGTGGAAAATGTCTGTATACTTTTGTTGCTTTCATGAGCAGAAGTGGTGGCAGTAACTAGGCGAAGGATTATTAAAGTTGGGTACTGTTGTAGGCAAGTTTACCCTGCCACTCATTCCTGAACTAGGTGGCCGTCCTGATCTACTAGGATTTGCTGGTGGTATATCTAAGTTGGCAGTTTCAAAACGCCTACGACTCAGTTCAATCATATTCTGCATTTCCGCTTTACTCCACAATAGTGTTCCTTTTGACCCTTTACTTGTACCACCTGTGTGCATCATACCAAGCCTTGCATCTTCATCAGTGGCAAAAATGATGAAAGCCTCACCCAGTTCACCCCCCACAATATGCACACCCCCATCAGGGATGGTCAATCCAGAGAAGAGGTGGCGAATGTCCACGGTCCCTGCCACAATTGGGAGACCTTGCAAACGGATGACCACAGCCATGCTGCGCTGAAACCACACACACCTGGTTGTATTTTCTTAACAAGAAGTAGAGGCCAAGTCAATCCTGTGGGCAACCAATTAAAACCAACTTTTAGATGGGTAGACCTGCGCGGCACCAGAACCCAGATCCCAGCACCTCCACCCCGCAGCCGACAGCCCCAGCCCTAACGTCTTCCCGGAGCCTACAGCAGCCACCACCTCCTTCACCGTTTCACCTTCTTCCAGTGTTCTAAAACTGTTATCCAATTCAGTAAAGAAGTTAAATGAAGTTTCAAAATATGTTTTTGTTCTTCCATTCTTGCTTTGCTTGCTAACATAAACTGATATATCAACTAACGTGTGTCAAACTATACTTATTCACAATGAAATGAGTAACTTCTCTGTTGAATCAAAGAGTAATCAAACACTCATCATCTGATTTTGTAACACAATTGTTAGCAATAGAATTTTTTATAAAACTGAGAGTGGATTTCACAAGTTCACATATCAGATTTTATGACGATATGTTTATTGGGAAAAGAGTTTTCAGATTGAGATATAATTCCATTTATCAAATCTTGGTTAAATTGCAACCATAAGTTTGCTATGGATACAACAGTTTGTCAAAAACCAAGAGAGCATTATGTGAGACTCAAATGGTTATAAGGAATGAGAGAGAGAGAGAGAGATTGAGATTTAAGGGGCTTGGCTCACACAGTTGCAGAGGCTTTGTGAGTCCAAAATCTGCAGGGCAGGTGGGCATGTAGGCAGGCAGGAGACCCGGGAAGAGTTGCAGTTAGAGTCCAAAAGCATCTGCTGAAAGGATTCCCTCTAGCTCAGGGAAGGTCAGTCCTTGTTCTATTAAGGCCTTCAATTAATTGGATGAAGTCCACCCCCATTTATGGAGGGTAATCTGCTTTACTCAAAATCCACAGAGTTAAATGTTAATCTCACCCAAAAACCACCTTTGCAGAAGCTTTCAGAATAATGTTTGACCAAATATCTGGGCCCCAGTCAAGCTGACACACAAAATTAACCATCACATAAATGCTTATGTTTTTTTCTTGGAGTACCAGCTAAATATCAACAGCACACACTGACCACGGCCTGCCCCAACTCTGCCTTCTTCGAGTGATCTGCCTGTTTCATCCATGCAGTTCAGCTGCTTACTGTAAAGCGTGGGCTGGACAATAAAACAAGTTGCTGCTCGACGACTGTGGATTTAGCAACTGGATCTGGGTGTGATTAATGAATGTAGTGAAGATGAGGAGAAGGAAGAAACTGCAAACCCTTTTCTTGGTTCAGAACTGAGCAGCCTTTTGAACTGAGCTCTGTCGGCCTTTGCCATCCTCTTACCTCCTTCCCTGAGTATTACCCTCTTCTCCGAGCATCACCCTCACTGATTCCCTGTGACTGGCTCTGACCTTCATCCTTTCTGAAGAAATGAGGCCTCAGGTGGGTGTGGGATGGGTGGCTCAGAGACACCATAGTCATTTTCACAGCCATGAGTCTCATGTAGGCCTAGCCTTATCAGATCTTAGAACGCTTCCTTGCCTGCACTGGAATGTGTCTGCACAAAGAAATGGAGGCACGAACAGTTGGTACGTATTTGCAGAGTTCCCTCTGGTTACCATTTGGCAAAGACCGTAATAAGCTTATAATATATAATATAAATATATATATATATATATTAATATATATAATGATAATAATATAAGGAATTCAAACAGATGATTACTATTGGCCCTGCATAGGCAAATCTAACAATGAGTTGTGTATGTTTTGCAGTCAAATGCTCTATCTCTGAGCTATACCCTTGAGTTGTGTATTTTTTAATGTCTTTCTACCTAATGATGTTAACTTAATCTTTAGCTATGGTCATGATTGGATCAACAGTGTCTCTGTAGGTCCCCTTCCATCACATTCTTTCATTCATGTGTGTAGACCACCTGGCTAGAACGTCTGTCATCCCACTCAATGCCAGACTTTTTCAAGGGGTTTGGCAAATATTCCTTTCCTTCCTCACCTCTCCAAGGATGTCCCTCTGGAAGTAGCATTTATGATCCTTTCTTATGATGCTTCAAGTTGCCCCATTATGCTCCCCACTAGGGAAAATAAATTGTCTTTCCTCTATGGGGGCTCACATAGAAAATTTTACCTTTGGGAAACTTTTATGAGGACAGGTTTCTGTAGTTTGTCAAGTAACAATTTATTTCATGTATTGAAATGTCATAAAGGTTGTTTGATTTTTGTGAATTTTGTCTTATTTAAGACAAGAGTTTGTTCCTAGGTGTGCTCCTTAGATGTCTTCTACCAATAATTGATTCTAATATATCAGACATTATTCAAGGAAGCCTAACTCTGTTGCTTAATGGCATAATTTATAAAAAATGAATTAATGGAATGAGAGAGAATATTCATGGATAGAGAATTTAGAAGAGCAAAAAACAACAGCAACAACTAAAACCCAGATGTTTTCTAAGTCTAGCAGATTGATAAATGCTATAGAAATAAACAAAAGTAGAATTTAATTTTAGTTTTTAAAATATTTTTATATTATGTATCAGCTGCTGAGTATTGGGGAGTCAAAATTAACATCACAGATGGCATTTGCTCTGCTGGAAGTTGGTTAGGGGAAAAACAGTGTGATAAAAGCAAAAGTAAAATAGTATAGGTAATAAAGATTCAGCAAAAGGAACAGGAAAATTATATATTTAAAATCAGCTAATAAAGTGGGTAAGACTTAGCCCAGGCTTTGATGATACCTAAATAATATATAGAAAAGATACTCTTAAGATGCTTACTGTCTTTTCCTACATCACAAAAGATAATATAAGGAATTAAAGAGAGAAGAAAAGCATGGCTAATTAATCGATAAATAAGTTGAAATATTGCTATTTTTGAATTGTAACAGGAGGTTTCTAAATGAGTAACATATTTCAACTGAAAAAATATTAATATATTATAATACAACTAAACTATTTACTGAAGACAATTACATCACAATGAGTAAAATTACTTTTAAAATAAAGTGATTAAATGATTCAGAATCTATTTTTCTTCCTTTTTTCTCTTTTATTCAAACTCAATAATTGTTCTCTCCCCCCCCTTTTTTTTTGCAGAAAATCTTCTAACTATTTTCAGTTCCAGGCAATTCTTCCTCAATTGTCTAGGTTGCAAAATTTTTGTATCAAGTATAATAGCCCAAATTGCATAGCTTCAAAAATGTTCATTAGGTAAGTAAATAACTATGTGTAGCTAGGAAAGTGAGCTAGTGTGCTCACTAGAGTAGGGAGTGACAGAGAAAATATCTTCTATATTTGTTAAATTGCAAAGAATAAAAAAGGGCCAAGGAAGAGACCTGGAGACCACTAGCATTTAACGAAGGTTGGAGAAAGAGGAACTTTCTGGAGAGAGATGGAGAAGATAAAGGAAGAGACACTCACACTCAAGAATATGGGGGGGGGGTGCTAAAAAGGAAGGAGAGGTTCATAGTAGTTCACAGAGTTTTACAAATACCAGAGAGGAGTCAGAACGGAGAACTGAATTTTGGATGGAACAATCAAAAGTTTATTCTTCCAAGATAGCTTCTGGTGCTGCTGTAGAAACAGAAGATAGAACTATGGACTGAGGAGTAAATGGAATAAAATGGACACAGCAAGCCTTGCTACTTGTTTAGGAAGCTTGGCTGAAAGGAAAAATAAATAAGAGCAGGAGCAAGTTGAGAGCCAGAGGATGGATATAAATGAGTAAGAGAATATTACAACTGTACCAGTTTTAGCACTTCCTTCAAGATCTCAAATTGGTAGCAAAAATATAGGTGGTGAGTTTTCCCAAAGTGAGGTGTCAGTTCTCCTAAGTTAGGGCTGCCAAGGAGATTCCACATGGCCAAGTCTGTGGCTCCCATCTGACCACTCCCCTCCAGTCAGTGACTTGAGGGATGACATCAGAAAAATTATTTTACTTTTCTCCCCATGCCAATAAAAGAGGATAGGGGCCTAGAGTTGCTCAGGAAACTGAAGATAATTACTTTGAAGAGAGGAGGCAATGGGCTGTGAGTCCCTTTGACATTGAGTGAGAGGCTCAGGAAGGAAAATTTTCAGAGACCTTGATAGGAGCACTTTGGAGGTACAGAGGTCAGGCATCTGGCAATGCAAGTAGCCTACAGAGAAGCAACCAGCTGAGGCTGCTTGTGCACCATTGTAGAGTGTCTGAAACAGCTGCAGTTCCTCTAACATCAAGCTAAAGGTGTATGCCTCCCATGGACCAGATGAGAGGCTCATGAGAAACAGAGCAGGCCGGACACTGCAGGAGATCCTGCCTAAGGGGCCCATCTGGAAGGGCAGGAAGACCTCGGCTGCAAGTGGATGGCGGTGAAGCACCAGATGACCTGGCCTGAATCAGAATCATAACCAATTAGATGGTGGAAATGAACTGGTCTTTGTGAAAGGGACGTGTGGGAGAGAATCCCCAGCAGTGACAGCCAGTGGGGAGGCATTGCAGGATCGCACTATGCCCCTCACGGAAGCAACAGACGGCTTGTAATGTCCGCCAGGTGATCAGAGACTCCCGTTTCACATTAGCGACAATCAAATAAGATTTGTTTCCCCTTAACTTTCCTTAGAAACGACTGAGGGGATAAATCCCTGGGGAAAAAAGCAAGAGGCTCCAGGGGAAAATGTACAGTAGAGTACACAGGTGTGGAGAAAAGTAAAGTGTATTTTTCTGATGTCCCCCTGTGGATTAGTTTTCTAAGGCTGCTGTAACAAAGTACTGCAAACTGAATGGCTTAGAACAACAGAAACATATTATCTCATGGTTCTGGAGGCTGGAGGCCTGTGATCAAAGTGTCAGCAGGGCCAGGCCCCTGGGAAGGTGTGAGGGAAGGACCTGTTCCAGACCTTTCTCCTAGCTTCTAGTAGTACTTTGGATTATGTCAGAATAACTCCAATCTTCACATGGCGTCTCCCTGTATGTGTCTGTGTTTCTAAATTTTCCCCATTTTATGAGGACATTATTGA